ATAAAATTGTCCCGAAAGACCACGTAAAAATGTCCCAAATGACTACATAGAACCCTCGACTCTTGGCATGCCAACTATACCCCTACATCTCATATCACATAACATGGGCATTATCATTTATATTTATCACATATTCATATAATCACACAAATCACCACATACTTATATCCTTGTACTTGTAGTCTCATATATTCTTTTCACGTAGATCTTGTAACATTCTCATGTAATCTCGTAGCTCATTGTCATATATAACATATCACATAGCTTGTATCATATAATTTATACTTTGTTCTCTTATGATCACATATTCATATAATCCATTATGTTTATATCACATAGCTTATGTTATCTTCTCATGTAATCACATATATTATTTATATCAATTCACATGGTTTATTAGACAACATGTATTCACATGGATCATGTAACATATACAATAACATGTAACATATACAATAACATATAACATATACATTAATATTCAAGTAATCAGGCATACATAATTATCATATCAAACACATACTTACATTCATGAATTTATGCATTCTAATGTAGGAAATAGACTCGTCGCAAGTCTTATTTCCATTAAACATCATATACCCACTACTAGTATGCACGCACCTTAGCCTCAGTAGTCCAAGTCATGTACTTATCTCTTTCTTGTTCAATCTTATCTTGTTGACTCATCAAATACTCGCTTTCTATCGTTTATCTACACAATTATACAACTTATATGAATATCGGAATTCGAATCACTTATAACCAATCAATATAACTTAAGCTGAAAGAAACTCTTAATTTAACATTTCAGTCTCAATAGTATCGGTACTCCCAGTATAGTATCGATACTACTCTTCTATGGTGTCGATACCCCTCTTGGTACCGATACCATTTGGCCATTCTGGAATTTTAACTTGTTAATGGTATTGATACTAAACCCTTAGGGTGCGTTTGGTTCACGGAATGTAAGATTACCAGTGGGAATGTAAGATTACCAGGGAATAAGATTACTGGGAATATTGTATTTTGTGTTTGGTTGGCTTAGCAGGAATGTAAGATTACCGTGTTTGGTTAAAGGAATAAAAGATTATTGGAATGTATATTTGACCAAATTGTCCTTATTATATATTTGTATAATATTACAAGTTGGAAAATATTTATATATTTTCTTTAAAAATTTAAATTCATAATATTTATATATATATTTTTTACAAAATTAAAAATATAAAAAGGTTTAATGAAAGGGTAAAATTTTATTTTAACCCCTGAACTTTATATAAAATTTTAATTATATACTTTTTTTTGTAAATCTATAATAATTTAAGGATAAATTTGTAATTTAACCTTCGTAGAATTTTTATTATTCAATGACAGAAGAAGGATGTTTTTGAAAAAAAATAAAAATTTAAGGACATTTTAGTCCAAAACACCGGTAATCTAATAATACCTAAGGAAAGGGAGGTAATGACATTCCCGATAATATACCCCAAAAAATCCACTATTGGTAATCTTACATTACCGGAAATGGGATTCCCGGGCTAACCAAACGTGGGAATGTGGATTCCATTCCCATTGGAATCCAACATTCCCCCATCCAAACACCTTAGTATCGATACTCTCTTTAACCAATACCGATACCACTCTTTAAGTATCGATACTTCTTAAAGATTTTATCAGATTATAGCATATGGCATCGATATTGTTCCTTCAGTATCGATACCTTAAGCTCAACTTATACTCCTTTAGCTTTGAAGTATCGGTACTAGATGAACAGTACCGATACCCCATGCCCAATACTTACTTATTTTACCCAAAATTTTTCCAAAACTTACTTAACTTCCACTCTACTAACTTCTTTCGATTCATTAAATTCAAATACACTTACTCAAACCATCTTATATCACTTTAACACATCCAAACATTCAATATCACATTCGAACAATTGAAACTAAAAATCTTACCAATTTATCAACATGTTCCAAAATTATTTCTAACACTTGGAATCTCTTATTTCAACTCATGACAAGTAAAATTCAACTTTAAAATCCATTTACTCCTTCTTTTTCAACAATTCACTCAAAAACTCGTTTTACTTAATCTCTTATAACCTATAAATCTTTTAGTTCTAATTCTCTTTAAACATCCTTAAGCTTTTTATCATCTCTAGAATTAAAACCAACTTAAAAATGAAAGTAAACCTTAAATGGAGACCAACTTACCTTATTCATGGTTACACGAGAAGAGAAGAAGAAGAGAATAGCTCTAAATTTTTCCTTCTCTTTTATTTCCCCTTCTCCACGTATATAATGCCTCCACTAAAGAATTTTTAATTATTTTTTATCAAATGATCATTATGCCCTTTTCATTTCCAAACTTTGTTATTCAATCATGTTCCAAGAAATTCCAATTAAGTCCCTGAATTTTCAATTTTCTGAAATTGATCATAAAGTTTAAAAACTTTCATTTTAGTCATAGCCCAGTTTTGGGATGTTACACTACTAGTCAAAAGTAACATCGAAGATGTCTTACTGATACTGATATTATAGATGATCTCTAAAAAGATGTTCGAGAGGCTCTTCACAACATGTCCACAACTCTATCAGAACCTACACATGAAATCATCACTCGCTATATAACTTAGTGAGGCAGTAATAATTAAAGGTGAGGTAAAATATATAAAATATCCTTACTATTAAAACATTTAAAATAATTTTGATGAAATCTTAAATGTTTAAACCTAGTATCTCATGCTATTTCTTCATCAGAAACCTGAAAAGAATCATCTTATGTTTTCTCAAAATCATAATAAACCATATCAGACAGAATAATCAATCAACATTTCTTTTCATCAGACAATTTCAGAACTTTCATATCTCATTTTTATAGCCCAACATATATTTAAGAGAATGCAGGTACGTGAGTCAGGCGAGTGTGCACACAAGCACTTTAGTGCTATCATCATAATCAAACATATAAGCACACACACATAGCTAACCATCAGAATCATAATATGTACACAGAGTGCAGTCACATTGGAATATATACTAGTGTACCCACGGTAACACCACATATCATAATCACTCCACCTCATGTCATGCCAATTGTACTAATAACTCTCAATGTAACATATAATTGGCTTCATTTCGATTCATAACCATTTAAATAAAATTATATCAGAATCAGAATCATTTTATCTTAGTTCGAAACTAACATATAGCTTGAATATGTTATGTTATGATGTCATATTGTCAGACTACGATAAACTAACGATCCAAACCCGAAAGGAAAGGACAAAGCACGTGAGTAGAAATATCGCGTAAAAGGTTCGGTAGTGAAGCAAAGGTGAGTGTAGTTTATTTATTTAATTACTCTGACCGATGACAACTTGTGATAAGTCAACCTCATATTATTTATTTCAAATAAATTATTTATGTTTTAATGTGGAATTATTTCCATAATATTTTATTAAGTGTTATGAATGATTTCGGGTATGAACTGCCCCTGTTATATTTTATGATTATGATTTGGAAATGATTCTGATTTGGAAATGATTCTGATTCTGATATAATTTTATTTAAATGGTTATGAATCGAAATGAAAGCCCATTGCACGTTAGGTAGATTTATTTTAAAAATTTAAAATTTAGGTATTGAAACAAATAAAAATAATATTAGACTAAATAGTAATTTACTCTATATTATATATATATATATTATTTTATAATTTTTGGGGAGGTCATAGCCCACTATAGGCGTTCTGCCCGTGCTTAGGATGATATCAGTATACTAATGTTATATAAATTGTTTTGAAAATAATTGAATGATAAAATACATTGTTTATCCCTGATAATTTATAGAGTTACATATACTATAAAAGACACGACTACATTTACAAAGTTATTGATTTCCATTCATAATAATTATATTTACTACATGATACTATAGTTTGGCGAAATCAAGTTAGCTTAACTCTTTTGAGTTAGACATCGTTATAATAATATTTATGGTAAATTACACCATTCCTCACTTTATTCTCTCTCCTATTTTCCTCACCTAACTTTCGTTTTGATCAATTTGCTCATGAATTTGATAGATTGAATCATTTTTGCTCACTTTGTCGTTAACTATTTAACGGCGTTATAACGTGGCACATGCATCAAACGGCATCGTTTTGAAAAACTCAAATATACTCGAAAATGAGTCATTTTGGTGAGTAAAATAAGAGAGAAAGTAAAGTTCAGTGACTCATGGTGTAATTTACCATTTTCCTTATCTTTTCATTTTCTCTCTGTCGATCACCACATTATTTTCATTTCGACCACAGTTGACGATGGTCGTCCAGTCCCAAAATGGGATGAGTCAGTTCGTCTCGACCCCTTGAGTCGAATCCAGTGGTTGTTTCACCGAAAACTGTCACAAAACCCTGAATTTGGACTGTAATGTTTCGTTTTTTCGCACTTTCAAATTCACGGACTTCGGAGCAAGTTTCGAAAAAAATGAAGGTCGGATTGGAACTCAAGGTGTCGAGACGAAATGACCCATCCCATTTTAGGATTGAACGACCACCATCCACAACAGTCAACGGTGGCATCCGATCACTTTTTTTTAATTATTTTATATTAAACAAATAATAAATGTCATTCATCAGCTGTTTAAAGAGAAAACGATAGAGTGAGCAAAATGATTCAATTTGTAAAGTTCAGTGAGTAAATTGATCAATCGAAAGTTATGTGAGGAAAATAGGAGAGAGAATAAAATGAGTGAGAAACGGTGTAATTTACCCTAATATTTATTTAATTTATTTAATTTTTGATATATATCCTACAAACATAATTGTTAAACTCTAAATTTGTAGGAATATTTTATTTTACATATGCTATGCAACAAAATTTTGTCCTAAAAAAATTTAAATTTTAAAATGGTTTTGGCGTATATAAGCCAAAATTTAGAAACGGGTAAGTTAACTATGATTTGAGTTTGCATTAGGAGGATAGAGCCAAATCCTCCTAGTTAGCTGGACTGGAATATTGCCCACCATCCTTTACCTCCAATTTTCAAACACTTCACTTGCTGTTACACTCTTTCCACCATGCTCATCCGCCGTCCTCACCACCTCCGTCTCCTCCTCCTCCCCGCCACCAACAGCAGTCCTTTTCCTCTCTCACTGTCCCACTCTCCCACCCAACTTACATCATCTGGTCCTCCAACACCTCCCTCGGCAAAACCCTAGTTTCCACCGGCATTTCCTCGTCCTTCCTCCTCTCCCCTTCCTCTTCCAACCCCAAAAAGCTTCTCTACCTCAAACCTCTCCAAACCGGCTTCCCCTCCGACTCCGACTCCCGCTTCCTTTTCCAAAAGCTCTCTTCTCTTTCTCTCCGGCGCGAGCTCCCCCTCTTTTCCTCCCATTCCGTGCTTCTCTCTTCCCTCCCGGCTGCCAAATCATTCAAACCGAACGATTTCTCTCGTAACGTGTCACGGGAGATGTGTGAATTGGGGCTTTACGAGGAGAGGAAGGTCTTGGAGGAGGGAAATGTAGCTCCAGAGCTGGTTTCGGAGACGCTGTACGCTTGGGAGGGCGCGCTGTCTCCGCATTTGGCTGCGGAAAGGGAAGGTGCGGTGGTGGGGGATTCTGAGTTGGTTAAGAAAGTGGAGGGACGTTTGAAGGAAGGGTTATTGGAAGATGGTGTTGAGAGGGGGAAATTAGATGGTTTCTGTGTGGTGGAGACTGCCGGTGGGGTTGCCAGTCCCGGAGCCTCGGGGACTCTTCAATGTGATCTTTATCGGTATCCGCTTTATTCTTCTCTGACGTTTCTTGTTCATTTCCTTTGATCCATTCTTTAGGTAGTGTTGTGCTTAATCAGGCCTTTCAGTTCTTAGCAGATTGGAATTACACAATTTAATGTCTTTTAGAATTGTTTGTCAATTTGAAAATTACTTTCGGCGGATTTATATTAATTGTGAATTTAAGAATCATCTGCTGAAAGTTGTAATCCACTTTGATTGCGAATTATTTTTACGTCTTGTTGGAAAATCGGATCATATTTGTATTGATGGCTGTAAATGTTAACTTCTTACACGTTATTTATCCTCATGCATTTCTTGTTGAATGTGTAATCAGGTCCTTACGCTTTCCTGGTGTTCTTGTTGGAGATGGGCGGTTGGGTGGAATATCTGGAACTATTTCAGCTTATGAGAGTTTGAAACTACGAGGCTATGATGTTGTTGCTATTGTTATTGAAGATCATGGCCTAGCAAATGAAATACCATTAATGTCATATTTGCGCACGAGGTAGTTAAAGTTCTTGAACTGTGTGTTTTTTTTTATCTTCATCGGGACTTTGACTCCGAGCCTTTCCTTTTTCTGTTGTACACCACTAGAAGTAGTCAAAAGTTGAGGCAATATCTTCTTTGGTCATGCTATGTAATAGGTTATTAATTTGTATTCTTTATTCTTTCTAGAGTGCCTGTGTTTGTGCTGCCACCCATTCCACAAGATCCATCAGATGACCTAATGGAATGGTTTGATGAATCTTGCAATGTATTTAATTCTTTGAAAGATATAATGCTGGAAGCTTATTTAGAAAGAACACGGAAACTAAATGAGATGCCGAGAAGAGCTGGAGATGTTTTCTGGTGGCCATTCACTCAGCACAAACTTGTACCACCTTCTAATGTTACAGTCATTGATTCACGGTGTGGTGAAAACTTTTCAGTGTACAAGGTTTGTGCATTTCATATGATATAAGACGACCAGTAGCCCAACTCACTTCTATTTTCTGTGTTATACTCTATTTTTCCACTTTAGCCTAAAAGCTTTTTTGGCTTTTCTTTCTAAAGTTAATTGCCAGGTTCTGATGTAAAAATTAAATCCTTGCTTTTCATTTCTACATTAAATTACAGGTTCGGAACAAAGAGTACATAACGCAACAATTTGATGCATGTGCTAGTTGGTGGACTCAAGGACCTGATGCTACTTTACAGGTTATCTTTATGTTTTCTACTCTCTTTGTATCCCTCTCTTTTTCTCTGATGGTGTATTTTGTTCCCTTAGTCTAGTATCTCACTTTCCCTAATGTTGAGGCCTCTGTTAAACATTTTGCACTATATATTTTTTTGCTTGTAGAGATTGTTTAAGAAAAAATAACTGTAAAACTTAAGTTTAGACTTGGGAACAGAGTTTCTTATTCTCTTTCCAGTGGGTTAATTTGCTATTTAGAATGCCCTCACATATTCATCTCGATATATAGAGTGCTCAAAAGTAGGCATTATGTATGAAGATATGAATTTTAAAGTAAATTGAAAAGCTCATTGATCATATACATATTGAATGCTTAAAGCTTGTTTTTTGTTGTTGAAAAATAGTACTTTATTATTCATAAAAGTAAATACCAGACTACTCAGGGTCTCGTTAAAGAACCTCTCTAACCCTAAGTAGAGGAAAAAAGTATGCGCCTGAGCAGTGGAACAACATAGCCAACAAGTACAATCAAAATCAACGAAACCCTTCTAAACAGTTCCCTATCAACACAAAAAACAATCCAGCCATGCACTACAACCAAGAAAAACATCTATACAACAAAAAATCAAAGAAACATTTCAGCCAGGGGGAAAACCTGAAGCAAATTTCGCCAACTGGTCTGCTGCCGCATTACGTACCCTTGGAATGTACTTCAGACCGAAATTTTCTCTAAAAAAAGACTCAGCAACCGGTCGGAGGATCTCTCCCCATTCTGATGGAATAGACGATGGGTTTCTCACCCAATTAACACAAATTCACAGTCACATTCAACGACAAGAGCAGCAGACTTGTACCAAACTGAGCCAATAAAAAAATTAATCGCATACTCTAATGCCAAGATTTCAGCTTGCACCGGAGAACCTCCCCCAATTGGAACCGAAAAGGATGCTAAAACATAGCCATCCGAGTCTCTAAGAATCCCACCAATTCCTCCTCCGCTTCCATCAGCCCTCATAGAACCATCTACATTAAATTTCAAAGTTCCATTCGGAGGTGGAATCCAATCCAAATGATTTTCCGAAGCCCTCGATAGGAGAGCAAAATCCTTTGCAATTGTTAGATCGTCTGCCAAACTATCCGCACTGAAAGAAGCTGAAGGAAATTTAGCCTTCGGCCAGCAAGCTATAGGGTATTTGGTTACGAACACCAACTGTAACCCATCAAACTTCTTACCCTTAAAAACCACTTCGTTCCTTAGAAGCCATATAGACTATAACATCGCCAAGGGTAACAATCCTCAAATCAAACCATACGATAATATACCCGGGGGAGAATCACACCAAACCTGCATAAAACAAAAAGGGTTATTTGGAAGAACAACAACAAGACCCCATAAAGTTAAAAAACTCCCCCGTACTCTCTAAACTTTGACACAAGAGAAAAGCAAGTGTTCAACCGATTCCGAGAAAGCCAAGCATAGCGAGCATCGGGAATCCGACATCAAAACTCCTCTCTTTTCAAGTTCCACTCTCACCGGGACTCTCCTCTGAAGCACCATCCAAACGAAAGCTTCTACTTTAAATGGAGCTAGTCCCAACCAAACATTCCTTTACCAATTAAAGCCAGCCTGCCCATTTAGCCAATCAAGGGTAGACGCTGATTTTACTGAATAAACTCCATCGCTCGATTCCAACCATTTGACCCCATCCATGAGAGAAGACGAACTCACAAACCCATCAAGGAGACGCATTAAACCCTCCCATTGATGCCTTTCCCAAACAAAGACAACCCTTCTAAATTGAGTGTTTCAAACCCACCCAACCTCACTTTTAACCCCGAAATCAGAAATTGGACCCCCTTTATTCGATGTCAATGCAAAAATTCTCGGAGACATTTCTTTCAATGGGCAATTACCAATCCACTTATCATGCTAAAACTTAATGGCTGCCCCATCTCCGACTTGAAGTTGGAAAAGCTCCTAAAGGCTTTTTCCCACTTCCTCCCCAATGGAAATAGAAAAGATTCCACGCCAAACCAAAGAAGCTCTTCGAGTATGCGAAAAGGGCGGAAGAATAGCCTCCTTGTCGAGATTATACTTCGCAATTGAAACTAATTTCCATGGGCTATTATGCTCAGAACAAAATCTCCAGCACCACTTTCCAAGTAGACCAAAATTTTTCTATTTGAGATCCATAAAGCTTAGGCCTCCGACATCCATAGGTTTGCACACTTCAGCCCAACTCAGCCAATGAATGGGATTCTTTGTTTGAGAACCACCCCATAAAAAACTGGAAAACAAGCCATTGAGTTTCTTGTAAACCGAAGCTCATATCTTGAACAGAGACAGAAAATACATGGGGAGGTTAGACAAAATCGATTTAATCAAGGCAATTCTACCTCCAAAAGATAGAGAGACAGATTTCCACCCAGCAAGTCTGTGTTCAACTCTATCAATCATCGGAATCCACAACCTAGCCGAATTCCGACCTGCCCCAAGAGGAAGGCCTAAATATGTAGCAGGGAATTTTCCAGCCGCACACCCGATAATTTTTACCCACTCCTTAACCACACTCTCATATATATTCAACCCAAACATCATACATTTCTTCAAATTCAATTCAAGACATGCTGCTAATTCAAAAATTATGAGCACTCTCTTCATATTCTTAACTTGAGTCTTAGAGGTGCCACACAACATGATTAAGTCGTCTGCGTATTGAAGATGCTAAATCTCAATTTCCAAAGGACTCTTCCCAATTACACAACCCAATTCTAGACCACATTTTACAGCCTTCTGGATCATTAAACTCAGCGCTTCTCCCACTAAATTGAAGAGTAATGGCGAGAGGGGGTAACCCTGACGAAGACCTCTAGCCAATTTAAAATGATTCGTAGGAGATCCGTTAACAAGAACAGAGATATAAGCCGACGAAATGCACTCCAGAATCCACATACGCCATTTTGCACCAAAACCCATCTCCTCCAAAACCCTCATTAAAAAAATTCAATCTACTGTATCATATGCCTTTCTAAAATCAGCCTTGAAAATTACTCCCGATCTGCCGCTCTTCCTTAACGAATCAATCGTCTCATTAGCAATCAAGGCACAATCTAAAATCTGCCTTCCCGGAATGAAAGCAAATTGAGAAGGACTGACCAAAGAGCCCAACACCAAACGAAGACGACTGGCTAAAACCTTACTGAGCAGCTTATACACCCCTCCAACCAAACTGATCGATCTGTAATCTTTCAAAAACTGGGGATTAAATTTCTTCGGAATTAAGGATATAAAAGCTTGATTCAGACGTTAATCAATTACCCCAGAACTATGAAATTCCTCAAAGAAGTTTAGAATACCCTCCTTCAATTCCGGCCAAAAATTCTTGAAGAAGTTAAAGTTGAAACCGTATGGCCCGGGAGCGCGATTACCATCAGAGGACTCTAAAGCTTGAAAAATCTCTTCCTCCGTGAAGCTACTTTCCAGCCGCATTACCTGAGCAGCATCTAATTTCGAAAAGGGGAGATTCAATTTATCTACCTCCAGAGCTATCTTCTTATTATATACCCCTCGAAAATATTTAAAGATCAGCCTCTTCAAACTTTCAGGACCCTCAATCCTCGACCCATTTTCCAGCGGAGAATTGATCGAGTTAACCCATCTTCTGGCTGAAGCATAATTATGAAAGAAAGAAGTATTACGATCCCCTTCCGAAATCCACCTCACTCTCGCTTTCTACAACCATGATCTCCTCCTTTTTATATTCTTCCCAATGCCTACATTTAAGCCTTCTTAATTCTGCAGTGATAACTTGATCTTCACCTTTATCCTGCAGATCTGAATCCAGCGTACTAATTTTTTTGTTCCAAATCCCCAATAACCACCTTAAAATCAAAAGATTGCTCCTTTGACCATTTCTTTGTTGCTCTCTTGGCCTCAAACAGAATTTTACCGATTTTATTGGAACCATTGTCCTGCTCTGCATCTTTAATTGCAGCTTTGATTGATGAAACAAAGCTACCGTCCTCCAGCCAAAAATTAAAAAACCGAAAAGGCTTCCGACCCCAATTAACCACTACCTCTTCTAAACTCACTGCATGTGGTCTGACAAAGATTTTGGCAGTAACTTCTGCCCGCAAGAAGGGAAATTTATCAAAAAATCGTTAGAAGCCAAAAAACGATCTAACATTACAAAGGTTTCCTTTTCCATGTTATTTGACCTATCGTTTTGACCTGGTAAACGATCCTCCTACCAAAGGCAAATCCACCAAGCCAGTTTGCTGAATAAAGTCCCCAAATTGACAGGAAATCCTTCGATTAAAGGACACACCTATTTTCTCGTCCGGGAGAACAATTGCATTGAAGTCCCCTCCTACACACCACGGAAATGAATTGCTCACCAACAAATCTAATAAATCCTGGAAAAACCCCTCCTTCTCCCCATCAGTTGAAGGACCATACACATTAATGAAGCCACATTTCGAAATCTTTCCAGGAATTGAACCAATAATGGCTACAAACCTTCTGGTTACAATCCTTGCCACTTCTGCAAAGAATTTGGAATCCCAAATACATAGCAGCCCTCCAGCCGTGCCCTCAGCCGCACTTAAAGCCCATTCGAAATCCCCTGCTCCCTAAATCCTTCTACACACTGCCAAGTTAACTTCCTCCAATTTTGTTTCCTGGAAGAAAGGCATTTTTACCTTCTGCTTACTAATTAACTTGTTTGCTGCTCTTAGCTTTTCCATTCTACCAAAACCCCTAACATTCCAGGTTACCATCGAAAAATTCATCCATACAACACAAAATACCTTTTCGAAAAAACATCTACCGACACTCAGGCAAACTGCCTAAGCTCCTCCTCTAGCGCTCGAATTCTTTGGGTGACCGCCTCTTTACCACCTATGAAAGACACTTGAAGAACACTACTAACTTCCCACACCGCCTCTGCCTCCGCAATGATCTCCTCAGCAATCGCGACCTTATGAGAATCACAACCCATACGATCCATCTCCTCAATAGAATCTCTTGTTAACCCTCTGATTACTCTCCTTATCACATCTCTTGGAATTGGCGCTCCCCTCCTCTTATAATCCGGTACCACCAGAGATTCGAACCTTTGCGAGCCAATATCCACTCCGTTCCCCATATGACTACTACATTGAGCAGACAGTCCTAAATTAAAACTATCTGGGACAATTTCCACCGAACCCGTTTCTTGGCTCAATCGATAACCACCGTCTGGATTAGATCCATGCTTATTTACCCGATCTATTTCAGAGTCTCTCCAGCCCGACAAAACTCTAAACTGCCCAAACTCCTCTTCTCCACTTAAGTCCTCAATCTCCGTTGTGCTATTCGGCCCATTCAGTACAACTGCTGGCAACAGAAGCCCATTTTCATTGAGACCCGTTTGAAAGTGGATTTCCACCTCATCAGACGATGTCTGACAATCCCTATGACTCCCACTACCACTCGATTAACCCACCCATGTCCAGGTGCCTCTCTTCGTTTAAACCACCCATGTTGGAATTCTCACCAAAGCCATGCACACACGGAATTATGATCCCATCAGAAGTAGTAGCCACCGCCGCCAAATTCGCAGCTCAATGGAATTCGAAACGCCGCAATCATTTCCATTCTCCGAACCAGTGTGACTAGCCGTTGTGATAACTGCTCTCGCCGGAGCACCGCTCTCACACCCCTCCCCTTCATCCGAACCAGAGATCTCTTGATCAACGATCCCATCTGTTGCCCAAACATCAGCAAAATTGCCACCTCCAACCTCCGATACAGTTTTCGACATAATGTTCTCATCCTCAGGAACCTCGACTTTGATAACAAAAAACCTTCCTTTTGACCTTATATTTAACGATTCTGGTATATCAAATCTACAAGCCGCCCTAACTATCATTTTTGCCGATTAGAAGTTTTCCATTCCTCTCGTGGACTCATCAACTTCAACAAAAGAACCCCACTTATTCCCCAGAGCCGAGAAGAAATTTATATGCTACAAATGTAGGGGAACACCCTTGAGAACACAAGTGAAATAAGCTGAAGCATATCCTGACTCATCTTTGATGGGAGCAATGTATTTGAACCAGTAATCCCAGCCATCATCCTTTTCCTCCCACGCTTCCTCCATCTCACTTTTCGAACTGAATATTAGAATACATGAGTTCTGCGAATTACCCCATTTTGCAAGCTTTGCATTGATCCCTTCTTCTTCTAGTGCACTTTGAACTAGATCCAGGTCGTAATTCTCTCTGGTAAGCCCAGCTAGAGAACGCTCAATCCATTCCACATCCTCAGAAGGAATCTGAAAACCCAGCACGTTTGAATCCTTCTCCCTAACCTCCACCTGTTCGGCTTCTTCATTCAGACCCAGTGATGCCGTCGGACCCGCCTCCTGAACCGTTTCCTTTTGACGTTCTAACTCATCACCATTTACCATCTCCTCTTTCCCTACCAAAACATCCGCAAATGACCTGGAATCCCTTCCCTTCTCCAGCCATCATTTCATTCTATTTACCGAGACCAGAGGATCTCCCAACCTCTTGCCCAAAGTCTTCCCCCTCCTTTTTGTAAAAACTTCCTGTGAGTACCTGTTAAACTTTGCTCTCGAAACCTTAATGTTACGCCCATCATCTTTGCATTGTTCGTTCTCCTTATACAAGTGTCCAAGTCTGACTTAGAAGCAAATCTCACAAAAGCAAAGATGAAATCCTTATACCTGGGGTTCCTGATACTTCTCGGAATAAAGACCTGTCTCACCTCTCCGTAGTTGTTGAAAAATTCCCTCAGAGCACCTCTCGTTACCCTTATACTTAAGTTATCTATGAAAGGCGTCCACTCATCTCCAAACTTGGAACCCTTCACTCGCTCTCCTGTTCCTTGACCCTTCATTCCTTAAACTTCAAGTTGAGGGGGAGTAATACTTAAAGCTTGTTATCAACTTGTTTTCATTGATATGGGGATATGCCCCTTCAAGGATCCTCCAGTTACATAAAATACTTAGAAAGATTGAACACAACTGTGCTAGACACATAATTTAATCCAATACTCACACTTGAGTTTGAGTAACATAGCTTAATTCTTTACCAGGCATCAGGTGTAATCTACTATATCTACTTTGCAGCTGTCAGCTGTCTGAAAATTTTCTTTAATGCGGTAATTCATTTAGGTGGTTTCAGACTGAACTTGCAAGAGATATGGGTTATGCTGCTGCAAGATTTGGGCATGTAATGTTCCCTGAGAATGTGTATGAGCCAGCTTTGGAATGTGCAGAACTTTTGCTTGATGGTGTGGGGAAAGGTACATACTCTGCTTCTCTTAGATAATTATTGGCTTCGCTTCTCTCATCTTATACATTATTGGTTCATCTGAGAACATTGCCTATCACTTTCCACATTTTTTCTTTGAAAAGTGTAAATAAAATAAAGGAAAGAAGCTGATGATAGCTGTCAATATATATATTTACCTATAAACGGTTGTAAAGAGCTCATATTTGTTGATCTCTTTTCTTTGGTTTGATAAAGGTATGAGAATTTGGTGCACGGATGTTTCCTACCTTTTTAATTTTGTTTGAATGTTTTTTTTTAATTGCAATAAATTCATAGGAGTTAGGATTCTTTTCTGTAGGTTGGGCCACTCGGGTGTACTTTTCAGATAATGGTTCCACAGCAATTGAAATTGCTCTGAAGATGGCATTTCGAAAATTTTCTTCTGATCATGGAATTTTTCCAGAGCTATTGAAGAATAGCCCAACTGAAAGTTGCCACGAGCTAATGGTGGGTTTTTCTATGTTTTGGTGCCTTGACTATGTATATCATGCATTTTTCCAATAGCTAATGTTAGAATGGCTTGTAGCATGTAGAGTGAAGCAATTCTGCTGAATGTATTAGTGCATGTCTGGAACATTATCTCCCTTCTCTTTCCTGATCTAAATCATATATTTTTTAGTTTTCTTTTGGTTTGCTGCTGACAGGGGTCTCCAATTAATACTTAAATATTTTAAACAAAATTTTGAGGTGCATGATGGAGATTGGAGAGGGTTATTTGGTTAATTTTAGGTACAAAGGCGGGTGAATTTGTTTGTTATAAAAGGTAGCATTCAATGTAGTTGTGTTCCCTTTTTTTGATTTTTTGAACTCCTAAGTATTGTCTTTTTGCCTGCATGTTCACAGGATATGTGTCCATGCATGACATTATGCATCTGGTCTGTATCATTTGTATGCATGTGTCGTATATATAAGTGCCTGTTTGTATTCGGCAATCATTTGGCCAAAACAGTGGCTGTACTATTCTTCACTGCAGTTGTATCTTGAATGCATTCTTGCACGTGACACTGAAACTTTTGCTAACAAGAGCAAGGAAAATGTTAGTAGCAGCTCTTAATCTTTTCTAAGTGCGTGCTTCATGTACCCTGATGGTAATTCTTCTGGCATTACCTACATTCTGTATATATATGTAAAATAAACCTTTCCACCACCTGGAGGAAGTTATATGGATCACGCTACATTGTTGTGCTCTATTTAGGATTATTCCCTGATTAATTAAAAAAAAAAATTGGCTTTGGGTTTCAGCCATGTTTTCTATTTTTCTCCTTTTTACATGCACCCCCCCCCCCCCCAAAAAAAATCAACATATTCAAGACTTGTTATTTTTATTTTCTGTTGCAGAAATAGTAACTGAAATGGCCTTATTTCAGGTACTAGCTCGTCAGGGATCTTATCATGGTGATACTTTGGGTGCAATGGAAGCACAGGCACCATCATCTTATACTGGATTCCTGCAGCAGCCATGGTATGATATTTTTTTTCTGTAAAAGCACGTTTGTCATTGTTTTCATATTTATGGGTATTCGTAATGGAAGCATTATTCTTTGGAAAGTACTTCCATTGCCTGGTTGGATCTTTAACCAAAAACCCAATTGCCTATTTTAGTTTGATTTTCAATACATTTCTTTTCATGCTTCAAAAGCATCGCTATACATGCAGGAAGGAATTATGAAACTCAGCAGAAAATATTATATATACCATATGCGATAGAATTATGGGTATGTCCAATGTTTAAGAAGCAATATTCTGAATTCGACAGGTATACAGGAAGAGGACTTTTTCTAGATCCTCCAACTGTGTTTATGCACAATGGCAAATGGACCCTTTCACTTCCTGAAGTTTCATTCTGGAACTCTGGAACAAGAAGATATTAGTAACTTCCCCTCCCTTACCCCCCCCCCCCCCAAAAAAAAAGAAAAAGAAAAAAGAAGCTGAGGGTGGGAGGTATTGAGTTATCAATACCATTAAGGTATTATTTCCTAATATATCTTGTGGTTGTGGCAGCCTTCAGGTCTCGTGATGAAATATTCCTTAAGAGCAGGGACAACACAAATCTTGCTGGCTTGTATTCATCGTATATTTCTCAGCAATTATCTCAGTATTCAACATTATCTGGGACTAAGCTAATAGGAGCCTTAATTATAGAGCCAGGCAAGAAATATATTTCTTTAATTTTACTGTTTGAAATTATTTTTTGTTTGACTAGTTTTTTTTCCTCATCAGTTGAGAATTTATGGTTCCTTTTTTTATCTTTACAACTATTGTTTTGATTCAAAGCAAGAGTTTCCGCTTAATCTTACCTAATCCATAATTTTCTATTCATATGACGTTTAACCTCACAAAATGATTGGATTGTTCTATAGTTATCCAAGGTGCTGGAGGAATGCATATGGTTGATCCGCTTTTCCAGAGGATGCTTGTCAATGAGAGTCAGCACTGTAAAATTCCAGTAATCTTCGATGAGGTCTTTACGGGTTTCTGGCGATTAGGAGTAGAGGTTTGTCATTTTGAATTGGATTTTTTTATTTCTGTTTTGTTGGAAAATCATGTTGCTGTTAATCACTCTTTCATGGCAAGGCTGCAGCAGAACTGCTTGGTTGTGTACCAGATATAGCCTGCTTTGCTAAGCTCATGACAGGGGGGATCATCTCTTTAGCTACCACACTAGCAACTGATGCTGTTTTCGATTCATTTACCGCAGATTCAAAGGTATTATATAGTTATTTAATGTCTTCAGAAATATTGGCATTTAATTAGGAACTAGAAATATAGTGACATTGATAAAGACAGCATTTCAGGGGAAATTAATAGCATGTCAATGAAAAACTGGTAGTGGTGACCTCTTGGTCAATACTAATTTCAGTATTTGGAGTGGTGTAGGTAGCTTTTACATAATTGTTTAATAAATAAATAAAGGTGCATCATGTTTAGAACGATGAAAGCCTAAAAGTCGTACATTTCACAAGAATTTGTCCTTTGTGATTGTATTTCCTCATTTAACATTAGCCTGGGAGTCTGTATGTGAAACTTGGATTGAAAGCTGACTAGGTAGCTGATTTCGATAAGATTCTTATCAGTATTGTTTGGATTTTTTATAGTTAGCAGATTCAGATTGTTTCTGGTGGGAGAAACACTAATTATATTGCAAAGCATCCACATTTAGCCATAATCCTTGTATTTATTTGTATTATGATGATAGTATAAGCAGAGCTCTTTAATTTATGTGGTTTTGTTGCTTTCAGCTTAAGGCTCTTTTGCATGGACACTCATATTCGGCACATGCAATGGGGTGCACAGCAGCTGCTCGATCTATTAAATGGTTCAAAGATCCAATTACAAACCTTAACATCACATCTAAAAATTCTCAGAAAATTTTGCAGAAAATTTTGCTTAGGGAGGTAGGTTAAAATTTTATCTTTTTCTTTTTAACCTTTTACAAGTTTATTTTCCATACCTTTCTATATTCTAAGATGGATACGAAGGTGAGAAACTTTCTAGCAGCGTAGAACATTTATGGTATCCTCTTATGGTTGGCAATTCCTCATATTATCTTTTACTTGTCGATTTTCTAGGGCTTTTGAATGACCTTTCTTTCGAAATTTTCCTTTAAGAAACAAGGACCGACTGTTGGACATATCAATGCAGTTAAATTGAAATCGAGGGAAAAAATGGTTTAAGCTCCAAATGTTCTTAAAAATAAAGTTTATAGCAAATTAGAATCTTTTTTCCCCCAACCGTGCGTGGTGAAATTACTGAGGCATATGTTTTTTAATCATATGTTCTCACACTTCGGCTCAAATTCTTGCAGCTATGGGATGCAGAACTCGTGCAACAGATCTCATTGCATCCTTCTGTATCAAGGGTGGTCGCACTGGGAACTCTTTTCGCTCTAGAACTACAAGCAGATGGTTCTGATGGTGGGTATGTTTATTTCTAACTTTTTTTTTGTCTTATTTAATTGTCCGGAACACTATCCTACTTGTCTAGTTTGTAGTTCTTTAAAAACTATAATTTGCTTCAGAATTTGAACAAGCGGAAACTAGATGTTTTAGAATGCTAAACCCTTTCCATGAAAGACAATAGCTTAATCCTTGTTGTACATACTTATTTCCTAGTAAATCAAGACCATCCTGGAAATTCCATGACATTGATGAATGATGATTGAGTTTGAGGTTATCCTAAAATTTCATTCCCAAAACCGGAAGAACTCTGTGGATCTTAGTTCCAGGCTCTAGACATGATCCTAATGGTGTACTGATCCTTTTTTCCTATTTTTTCTTCTACAGGTATGCATCTCTATATGCAAGATCTCTGGTTCAGATGCTCCGGGAAGACGGCATCTACTGCCGACCCTTAGGAAACGTCATCTATGTCATGTCTGGTCCCTGCACATCCCCTGCATTCTGCACCCAGCAACTCCTCAAACTCTACACAAAGCTTGAAGAATTCACCCAGGTCAAACCAAAGATGGAAATCGTTTAACTGGTATCGAACTTCTCTTTTTCCTATAGCCTATATGTAGCTATTTTCTGATATGAATTCCCAAATGAAACTTTTTATTGACATTATTAATATTAATATGATTTTTATGCCGTCCATGGCATTTGAGCCTGCCATAAAGTTTGAACACCTTTAGTATCTGTCTTTGTTATAACATTTTCTTTTCAAAAATTTGAACATATTTGGTGTCTTTTTATTATTGCTTTTGCGCTGAAATAGGTTGCAATTGCAAAATTGGATTAAACTTCTATAGTCAAAAGTAATTCATCATTCATAGTGTATTGGCGTGGCAAAGGTGTCATTTTTAGTTATAAGGGTAAATTATTTGTTTAGTACCCAAACTATCAGTTTTGATCTGTTTTAGTACCTAAACTTTCTAAAGTTTCAAAATTATACATAAAGTTTAGTCTTTGTTTCATTTTAGTATCCCGTTCAAAATTTAACGTTAAGTTTTGATTTTTTTTTGAAAGTTTAGATACCAAAACGGATTAAAATTAATAGTTTAGGTACTAAACTTGTTAAGTTTTTAACGATGGGTTACCAAAAAGAAATAAAAATTAAATGTTTGGCATGATCTTGAAAAAACATTAAAAGTTTATGTACTAAAATGAATTAAAATTTATAGTTTAGATGCTAAATGCGTAATTTATCCAAGTTATAATTATATACAGGGACAAGTATCAAAACAACACGTGAACATTGATAGTATGTGTAATGTAATATATAAATTTTTATTTTGTGTAATTATACTTTCAAAAAATCTGATTCTGATGTAGAAGTACACATACAATTTTAATTTTAATTCGATTATATATATTTTTGAAAATAAACTTATCTATTTATTTTTATATCAAAAAAATTTATTATATATAATATGTAAATGTAAAATGGTGATATATTGATAATAAGTTAGTAGAACACATTCATACGCTTGCCGTAATTGAATTTTGTTATAAATATATTTTTGATGTATTAAAGTGTGGAATTAAGAAATTGCACTAAAATAGTTACCCTTAACATTTATATCAATTATAAAATGAAGAGTTAAAGAGAAATATGCTTATAGCAAGTCTGGCAACGGTATAGGACAAATTAACACATGTGACCGATCAACTCCAAGAAAGAACAAGAGATGAAAGAAAAACCAGTAGGAAAAGGTTGAAAAGTCCCCAACATCCAAATAAAAAAAGGCTGCTGACTTTTCTGGGTAAATTACGCATTTAAGTATATAAACTATCAGTTTTGATCCGTTTTAGTATCTAAACTTTTAATTTTTTTAAAATTATATCTGAAATTTAGTTTTTATTTCATTTTATTATCTCGTTGTTAAAAGGCTTAATTTTTGTTTCATTTTGATATCCCGTTCAAAATTTAATGTTAAATTTTAAAAGATTAAAGTTTAGACATAGACAAAATCTGATAATTTAGATGCTAAATTCGTTAAGTTTAATAACGAGGTACTAAAATGAAATAAAAATTACATATTAGGTATGTTTTTGAAAAAGTTTAAAGTTTAAGTACTAAAAAGATCAAAACTGATAGTTTATATACTTAACGAATATTTACCCCTTTTTTCTTTCACGAATGAATTATCTCACCCTAGCCGTTATTTACCCCTAAAATAGCGAGCCGTACCGGATAATTCCCCGAGCCTCTTTTGTCAGCTAACAAAAAGTGTGCACTTAAAAAAGAGTACTGAAGAAAAAGTCCAAAACCAAACGCAACTTTTTCCTCCAATTTTACTTCATTTGTTTTACTATTCAGCAATCACTGCAAAAGTTTTATTTTTTTTCTCGGATTTTCCTTTCCCTAAATTCATCTCTTCAAATGCTTTGTAATTATCCACTTAAAACCTGATTTTTATTTCTCACCATCCTTGTTTTTTCTTTAATTCTCTGTTTATCAGTTGCTCGATTATAAACTGAAACCCGACCCGATTGTGGAGTAAGAGCCTAATTTTTCATTATGAATTTGAATATTTCATTTAGAAGAGTGTTGATTTTGTTATAATTGCATATCTGAGGGGGAAAATCAAGCTTTCGATTCGGTTGCTCGGAAAATGCAAAGACTGCAGCGGTACATGACGAGGAGTAATAGTATCGCTAGAGGGAAGAGGAGTTTGGAAGGATATGAGGACCAGGAGCCGGAGCCAAAGCCAAAGCGTCCCGCTTTAGCTAGGTATTTTTCTTATGTTTATTCCCTTTTTCTGCTGTGTAAGTACTGCTTTGTTTGTTTGCTAGTCTTGTGTGTATCCTAGTCGTTGCTTTTTGTATTTGTATTTTTTTTCCATCAGACGGGGAAAAAGAGAAATGACAATAAACATTGTTTTCAACTATTGTTTAGCTTTCATTTGTCTTTCGGAGAACTTTTATATTAATTCTGATTATGATTTTGCTGTAAGTTTCTAGGTGGCGAATTGCTAGTGGTAAAAGCATTAACAAATCATGGTAATTGGGCGAAATCAAAATAAAAGTATTTTTGTACTCTGCCTGGTGATTTTTTCCACGCATAAGGTTTTTTATTTTTTTGTCATTCGATTCTGTGGCACACTGGGGAATTTAAAATCTTAGTATCATGGTTATGACATGATTGGGTCTCTCTCTATACGGCCTAGTGCTTTTTTTGAATATATTGCATGTTTATGTTATGCAGTGTAATTGTAGAAGCTCTTAAGGTGGACAGCTTGCAGAAACTTTGCTCATCTTTGGAACCCATTCTTCGTAGAGTTGTAAGACCTATTTCCTACTCTTTGTGATCAATACACTTGTTGTGGAGGATTTCAGGATATGATAGAGGGTCTATGCATGATCAGTGCATCTGCTTTTCGTTTTTTTTTATTCTTTTGATAAAGAGTTGGTTCAATTGTCGTTTAGCCAAGATTTTTTTTATAAGAATAGGAGGCCTTGTTAAAAACCCTTTCATAACCGTCAAAATACTAAGGTATCTCGACGAATATTGAAAGGATAAAAAGAGTGCCTCATAATTTTATTACCAACCAAGAAAACAAACAGTAAAAAATGTCCAGTACAACAACATCTTACAACATAAATAAACCTCCTCGAAAAACCAAAAACACAAGCTCATTCAATTCCTATCTTAGCTAATTCATCCGTCTGACAATTCACAACTCTTTTGACATGCCTTACAATAACATTCCTATCTACTACCAAAGTCACAATTTCCTTCACTAACGAAATAAATAAAGTACAAGAACCTGGAATCTTGATCCAATCTAAGGCTTTGCTGCAATCACTCTCCAAAATAAATCTTCCCCTTGAGCTCCAATTCGAATTCATGAAGAACAATAAACCGGTTTTGATAATCAACAACTTTACTAAAATTGGAGGGCCCGAACCAACATTTTTAGAAAAGGTCCCCAACACCGTACCATCTTCATCCCTTAGTAAACCACCTATTCCTCCTTTAATCCAAAACTTATCCACAACCCAGTCAACATTCATCTTGAAGAAACCCTTAGGAGGAGGGCACCAAGACAACGAGCTAGCGAGGGGTTTATTACAACACACCCAAGAATCAGCTAAAGCATGATTACCTACAAGACAATCGAAAGGAATTGGGACAACAATAAATTTCGCTGAGAACTAAGAAACAAGTCTATACCTTGTTAAGAAAATCAACAATGTGTTGTCTAACTTCCTTCCTTCAAAATAATCTCGTTTCTATACTTTCAGACCGATCATAAAATCTCCCTAGAATAAACAACCAAATTTTCGAGCGAGGCACCAACAACATCCAAACTGAAATTAAAGTAACCGGGCTTTCTGGAACAGCGAAATGAACATCTCACATCTTCAAAAAAATAGACCATAATCTCCAAACTATCGAACAAGACACAAACAAATGAGAAACCATTTCCGGAGTCAAACCGCACAGGGGGCAGAGATTGTCCAGGATCCTAGGAACTCCACGTTTCACCAACTCAACTTTAACTCCTACCTTCGTACGAAAAACTTTCCAAATAAAAACATCCACCCAAGGAGGGGCCACCCCAAGGCAAACAAGTTTTGACCAAGCCAGATCCACATTCTCTTTCTCATTTAATGATTTTAAACAAGATTTAACAAAATAAGCGCCTTCTCCATTTCGTGTCCAAACAGAGGAATCTTCTATAGAAACATCAACATAAAAATTGCAAAAAATATATTTTAATTCGAGCTAATGCTCCAACTCCTAGTCCGCAAGGTTTCTCCTCACCTGGATGTCCCAAAACCATCCTGACTGACTTTGTTTTTTGAAATCAGAAATTCTTCCCCATTTGTTAACCGAAAGAATATACATCCTTGGAACTCAGTCTTTTAAAGGCACACTCTGTACCCAAACATCATGCCAAAAAAGTATAGAATCCCCTTTACCCACTTTTAAACGAAAATGATTTCTAAGACAATCACCAAAAGCATCCTTAGCCAAGCAACTTTTAACCACCCCTTTCCAAATCCAAGAAGCTTTAGAAAAATCCGATCTCTCGTCTGAAATAGCCCTCGGATCCACATCGTTCTTGCAGCAAATCACTATTTTCCACCACGAATTAGATTCACTTGCAAATCTCCACGACCATTTGCCTAAGAGCGTTCTATTAAACAAATTAAGATCAGTAATCCCTAAATGCCTAGATCCTTAGGCTTACAAACAGACGACCAACTAACCTAGTGGATCTTTCTCTTATCATTCGAACCTCCCCATAAAAAATTCGCCATAATCGAATTCAACCTTGATAAGACACAAGGTGGCAACCTGAAAATAGACAAAAAAATAAATAGGCAGTGAGCATAAAATTGATTTAATCAATATCACCCTCTCCCAAGAGAAAGGGAAGTTGCTTTCCATCCCGAATGCTTCTTATAAAACCTCTGAATAATCGGTTCCCAGAGAGCCACTGAACTATTTCTCATTATAAGGGGCAACCCTAAATAATCTGATAGAAGAGAACCCACTGAACAACCAATCGAACAATCCCACTTGTTCAAAACAGTAGCATCAACATTAATACCAAAAATTTTGCTTTTTGACAGGTTTAACTGCAACCCAGATATAAACTCAAACAAGGAGAGAATCCTGAACACATTCTTCAATTCCCCACCCTTTGCATTACAGAAAATAATAGGGTCGTCAGTAAACTATAAAATGTGACAACATAAAGGAATTATCTGAGTCGTCAATCTTAAACCCCCTTAAAAGCCCAATATTCACTGCCTTAGCTAGTATTAAACTCATCACCTCTCCCACCAAATTGAATATCAGCGGAGACAATAAACAACCTTGACGAAGACCTCTTGTAATCGAAAACTCCTCTGAATGATACCCATTCACTAGAACATCGATAGATGCCGAAGATATATAGGATTTTATCCAAGAACACCACCTTTGTCCGAAACCCATTTATTCCATTATTTAAAAAAAAATCCAATTCACCGAATCGTAAGCTCTTTTGAAGTCAACCTTAAAAAAACCTTTTTGACCTTTCTTCCTCCAGTAGTCAATTCTTTCGTTTGCAACTAGCGAACAATCCAATATTTGCCTTCCCGGAATAAAAGCAAACTGAGAATGTCTAATTATCGAATCAATGCACACCCTTAACCTTCTCGACAACACATTGGACAAAATCTTGTAAAGTCCCCTGACCAAACTAATAGGCATGTAGTCTTCCACACTAGCCGAATTTACCTTCTTGGGGATGAGGGTTATAAAAGAATGGTTAACCACCTTTTCCCATTGTTTCCCCCTGAAAAAGTCTTTAAAAGAACTTACAATACCATCTTTTAATCAAGGCTAGAACTTCTTAAAGAAATCCATATTCAAGCCATCTGGACCAAGCGCTTTATTGCTGTCGGTAGAGGCAATAGCCTCCCAAATCTCTTTCTCTGTAAACTGAATCTCCAAAAAAGAGCTTTGCACCTCGGACAATTTAGAGAAATTCATGTTCATATCCTCCACCTCAATCGTATTATCCAGATTGTACGCCTTTTAAAAAAAATTCAACACAAGTTTTTATTTTCCTAGGGTTCGAAATCAACTCATCACCAACCTTCAAAGATTTGATAAAATTCAATCTCCCTCTATTCGCCAACATTGATGAAAAAATCTAGAATTTCTATCATCCTCCAAAAACCACTTAACTCTAGACTTTTGAAACCAATTTGCTCATTATTCCTATATAACTTCCAAAGCTCCTTTATAGCTTTAGCAACATCTTCGATTGAAAATGTGGAGTATCCCTACTGTATAGCCATCTCCATATCATGGATGGAATGTTCCAAGTCAAAAATTAAGCAGACAGCACAAGGAGCCTAATTTTTTACCACTTTTTTATGGCTGCTTTAGACCCTTTTAAAACACTAAAAATTCCCTTTTTCCTACCTCCTTTTTGAAGCTCCTTCAGTTCCTGTTCCATCATTTCTTTAAAATCGCCTTCATCCATAAGATAGTTGAATAGCCTAAAAGGCTTAGGTCCCCAATTCACCCCGCTGTTCTCCAGGAAAATGGCGTTATGATTTGAAATGGATCTCAGCAATAAAGATTGGCTAACATTCGGAAAGGCTGATAGAAACCGAGGATCGACCAGAAACCTATCCAACCTAACAAAGGTCAAATACTCCCTATTATTGTTCCAAGTAAAACTACCTCCAGCCGAAGGAAGATCATTCAGATTAGCTTGATGAATAAACTCACTGAACACTCTCACTGAGAACCCATTCTGAGGACCACCCAATTTCTCTTTCTTTGATTGATACGCGTTAAAGTCACCCCCAAACAGGTCGGACAATCTAGTTGAATAACAAAAGAGAGAATATCATTGAAGAAAGCCTCCTTTTCTGAGTTTACTGACATACCATACACATTAATAAGACAAATCAGACCCGAATACCCCTTCAGATTGCCAATAATAGCCATAAACCTACTGTGCAAAGTTTTAGAGTGAAAACTAAACACCTTCTTATCCCACAATGTGACTAAACCTCACGCTACTCCTTCTGCAGGAGACCAGATGCAACCCCGCAACAGATTTCCTCCGAGCCTTCTAACAAGAATGGGTTTCACCGAATCCACTTTTGATTCTTGAATAAATAAGAAAGATGGCTTCTTTTCCAATATCAAATTCCTCACCGCTCTTGACTTCTCCTTCCTTCCAAGATCCCCTATGTTTCACGATATTATGCTAACTTTAACATTATAAATTAAATAAAAAGATACCTAAAGGTTTTAATTTGAAATAAACAAGTATTGATCATTTCCTCTCTTTCTCTAAAAAAATATATGAGAGAGATAGTTAGAGAGAGAAACGGAGCGAGTGCGTATGGGAGTCCCTCCTCCGATGAGGAATGGACTGTCTTTGTTGACAACCTTAGTAAGAGAGTTTCTAGAAGTGAGCTTAGAGAGATTTTCATCCAGTATGGCAGAATAGTCAGGGTTTATATTCCAAATTTTATTTTTAAACCGAAATACAAATCGTCCACGTTTGCTTTTGTGCAATTTACGTTAGAGGAAAGTTGCAATAGAGCTGTTCAGAATGTGAATAGAACTCTGATTGATGGGAAGCGAGTGACAGTGGGGGTGGCAAAGTACAAGAAGAATAGGAGAAGAGGCATAGTGGGGTATAAGCGTCAACCGGAAGGTATCAAATCAGGCACAGGGGTCAGAGGTAGGCAACATATGCAAACGGAAAGAACGAGTAGTCTGAGGAATGGCAGATCGTACGAGGAAGTGCTGAAG